TGAGTGTGTTATTGTGGATTTTATTAAGTATTTTGTTGTTGTGATTATAAAAAAAAAAAAACTTTGTTCATGTTATTGTAGTTCGCTTTTACTGGTATTGTTCCTGTCAAAATAAAAGCACAGTGTTTGTGAGCCCAGAGAGGGTGTGACCTTTGCCCCTCAGCTTTGTGAATATTATTAGTGTTGTGTGAGTAATCTGTAACACCTTTGAAGATATTACTGTTACTATAAGCCTGAAGGTTTATAAATATATATATATATCATCATCTGTGTCTGTTGTAAGCTGTATTTCTGTATCTCTGTATTAAAAAGCCTTTTGGAGGAAAAAAGTGCTCTAGTTCAGAACGCAATACACAACAAAAAACTAACTGCTAAAAATAAGCAAACCCCGAAAACAATGCTTGAGATATTTTTGAAGTAGGGTCTATGAAAAGGTTATAATTATGTCTTAAATGTTGTAAACAGTTCTCTGAGTAGGCTCAGATTGGAGAAGTAAAGTTTGATTCAGACCAGACTGATGAGCTAACAGCAAGTCTTGAGTACATTTCTGCTCTTTTTAACTTCAGTGTCCAAAATTTTACAACGGGTCATCCAAGAAATTATTTTATAAACCCTCACTTTGCTGTCAAATGTGCATTACGAGGTTATGTGCATATGATTTTATGGGCATTTGCAAGTGGAAATGCCTAGCTGGTGCACATAAAGCAAAAATATGTTTTTGCCTAAATGTGATTCAAAATGATGTAATAGTTCATAAGAGAGTATTCTTATCCATCCATTATATTTAATGCTTCAACCTTTTCTGGTTGAGGTCACTGGTGCCCATGTCCAGCAGTCACTGCGAGAGGCGGGGGCACCCTGGACAGGTCTCCAGTCCATCACAGGGACACATGGAGACAAACAACCATTCATGCTGTCTCACACCAAGAGACAATTTAGTTTCTTTTTAGTCTAGCAGGCATCTAATTGCATGAATCTGTATTACTGTAATGTATTTGGAGTTTTAAGACAGCAGGAAAGTCTGACTACGTTTCGGCTCAAAGGTCTGATCAGAATTAAACTTTATTATTGTTCAAACCTGCCTCAAAGGATCTGAACTATTCAGTTTATTTCTATAGCTCCAAGTTACAACAGAAGTTATCTCGGCACTGTACAGAAACATTCACATACATTATAAAAGCCAACTAGTAAAAGTTATTTTTCTAAGGAAGCAGCAGATTGTGATGAATCTTCACTTCATCGTAGCCTCCCATCCTGAGCAAGCACCAAGGAGACAGTGGAAAGGAAAAACTATTTTAACCGGAAGAAACCTCCAGCAGAACCAGGCTCAGGACGAGCGGCCATCTGCTTCAACCGATTGGGTTTAAGAGGACAGGAAGGAGAAACAGATACAGAATGACAGGTCCAGATGTACTTCGGAAATAAAAAAAATTATAAAATAAATTCGCTCCACCACATGTACCACGTGAGGTGCGAATGACAATAAAGAATCTCTGACTCTGAAAGATGAAAAAAAACAAAAAACGTTACGATATAAATAATTACAAATACAAACAGGTCGAGTAGAGCAAGTAAAGACCGCAGCAGAGAGGAAATGAGCTTAATTTGTCTTCCAGCAGTGTAAGCCTATAGCAGCATAATTAAGGGATAGCTCAGGAAACCCAAGCCAACCCTAACTAGGATTTATCAACAAGGAAAGTCTTAATCCCAGTCTTAAAACTGGACAATGCGTCAGCCTCATGGACAGAAACTGGAAGTTGGTTCCACAAGAGAGGAGCCTGATAACTGAAAGATCTTCCTCCCATTCTGCTTTTGGAAACTCTAGGAACCACAAGTAAACCTGCAGCCTGAGAACGAAGTGCTCTGTTAGGAAAATATGGAACAATAAGTTCTGTAATAAACGATGGAGCTAGGTTGTTGAGAGCTTTGCAGGTTAGAAGTAGGATTTTAATTCAATTCTGGATTTGACAGGGAGCCAATGGAGAGAAGCTAAAACTGGAGAGAGATGATCTCTCCCACTAACTCCAGTTAAGACTCTGGCAGCAGCATTTTGGATCATTTGAAGATGTTTTAAAGATGAATGTGGACACATATAATAAACAATTCCAGATCATAAACTATCCCTTTAATAAGCGCACGTCTCAAATACTTGAAAGCAAACTATTTACGCAGCCCATTTCTTCATCTCAGCTCAGTTTGTTTAACCAGAACAATATTATTAAAAATAAACTAAACGCAAAACAAGAAAAATCATTCAGGAATAGAAACAAAGGATTTATCTAAACAGTCATACTGCCATAGTAAACACAATAATGCAGTAAAAATATTATTATTAAGAGCAAATAAATATTACTGACAATAAAAAACAGGAATGTGTTTAATATCCTGATACATGCTCAATAATCAATAGAATGTGTTTAATCTTAAGCATATTCAGCGTGGGGTTTCTGTATCATATAGAATCAAATCAGCCGACACCGATCTGGGTCTGATTAAATCACGACCTGACAGAACTCGTTAACACGTCTCATACACAGAGGGCCGTTTAAAGCTTTCTACAGCAGTAATAAGATTTAAAATTGATTCAGTGAGAGTTTGGCCTCAGCTGAAGTCTGCAGACTCTGCATGGCCTGGAAAATAAACTTTCAACAGTTCAGACTTTTTTTCTGAACGAGTGAGCTACATTTTCAATCAGACTTTGATGCAGACATTTTGACCTTTGTACAGTTTCTGAAATGAGAAAAGACCAACTGAGCAACATGAAGGAGGCGACTGAAGACATAAAGGAGAATAATTAAAAGTGCGGTAGGGTGGTGCGGTAGGGTGGCACGGTATCGCAGCTGGTACAGCTGTTGCCTCTCAGTGAGAAGGGTGCCGGTTCAAATCTTGGCCTGAATGTAGTTTGCATGTTCTCTCCGTGCTGCGTGGGTTTTCTCCAGTTTCCTCCCACAGACCAGAAACATGCATGTTAGGCTGATTGGTAACTCTAAATTGTCCCTAGGTGTGAGTGAGAGAGTGAATGGTTGTTTGTCTCGTTTGTCTCTATGTGTCTCTGTGATGGACTTGAGACCTGTCCAGGTTTCCCTGTGATGGACTGGAGACATGTCCAGGGTGTCCCCCTCCTCTTGCACAGTGACTGCTGGATATGGGCACCAGTGACCCCCATGACCTGAAAAAGAGGAAGTGTGGGATTTGTTTAGTGACAGCTGCAGTCATCATCAGGCAGATGTTGCCAGATGAAATCTCTAAATTAACTCAAACTAATGAGATTTTATTGGAAGCGTTTGAAAAACTGTTCAACTAAAAACAAACACAAAATAAAGCTGATGAAGTTTAGACCCGTGTGCGCATCAGTGGGCAAGATTTTCTCTTTTGGAAACAGACCAGTGTCTCTGGGCTCAGTTCAGGCTCGGCCCAAGAATCAGAACCATTAAAACCCACGATGTAAGGAATGCATATGAAACGACAGAGCTGTTTGGCCAAAACTTGTAAAAGACTGACCTGTTGGCAGATACATGAAGTTATGAAGAGTTTGTGCATTAGAGGGAGCAATTTCTCTTTACGAGTGTCTGAGCTGCAGTCAGAACCAGAACAGTCCAAACAGCAAGTCAAGAATAAATTAAAAAAGTTATTTTCACCTTTTGTCTTCAATTTCAATGGTATTTATTGCAAAGTCATCAAGACCATCAAAATAAATGAAGTTAAAAAAAACAGAACCCACATGTAATAATTTACTGTTCAATTCTAAATTTGTAAACAAAATATATCATTTGCGTCCACTGAACAGGAGTGTTCTGAACAACATGGTGATGTCCATTTGGGACAGAAGTTGATTTGTTGATGAACAAACAGCTTTGTTTACACTGAGTGCGTACCCGCGTTTCATAATTAGTTCAGGATGTCATCACATTTTTAATGGGAGTTATAAGCTTTAAGCTGCGTCATGTTCCAGCAGACCGGTCCAGTTTCATGCGGAGACCGAACCGAGCCGGTGGAGGCGGGCTGATGTTTGGAGTGGGGTGGTGTCAAAGCACCACGTCTGCAGGAGGAGTTCCAGCTGCTGAACAACATCTGCAGGCTCCACATCTCCCTCTCTAAACCTCCAGTGACCTCAGATAAAGTTGCTTCTCACCACAGACGAGAGGAATGCGCGGATTGGATCCACTTCCGGTTTAAAGAACGCCAGGTTCAGGTTGCAGAGGCGCGCGCGATTCCAGTTTTCTCTGGAGCTTTCTCTGGCGCAGAGGATGTTCTGACAACAACAAAGAAAAACAGACTGTTACAGAGACCTCGATCTGTGTGAAAGTCTTTTTTTTTTTCCATTTGAGTCTGAAGTGATGGCAGCAGGGCTGAAGTGGGCCGCGCGGCTGCTGCTGCTGGCCGCGCTGTTGGAGCAGAGCGCGCACGGAGCCACGCAGAGCCAAACCAACCCAGAGGTGAGGAACAAACACCAGCAGGGCTCTAACACCAGAACCAGCTCACACACTGACACAGAGCCCACAGGATCAGCTGTCTGAACGCAACCCAGCAGAAAATAAAGGTTTTAATCTGGCTCCTAATCTGGCAGGAGTGATACTTTAAGAGTTTTAGGTCCTGCCCTGTGATGGTGGGACACAGGAGAGGTTTTGACCCTAAGTTAGAGGAAACAGCCCAAAACGGTGAGGATGGCTCATAAACTGAGAACTGCTGAGAACAAGAAAAACAAGGAGGAAGAAATTTCATTATTTTGTGGTCGCAGCTGGAGGACTGACAGATGTGGCTTTAATTACTCACATCTGTCCTAATTCACGTCTGAGCAGAGTGTGTGTGTGTGTGTGTGTGTGTGTAGGGGGGGGGGATGGGTGGGGGGGGGGGGGGGGGGGGGTGTCTCAGCTTTGACAAAAACACTTCCAGTGCTGATATAAATTTAGGCCTATTGAACTGATCCTGTTTGTCCGTCTGGATTCTGCTCCGATCTGTTTTCCATCACATTTCCTGCAGGCCCTCTTCACCGCCAGGAAGTTGAGTGTTAATTCAAGGAAGTGGCTCCTCCACACACAGCTGCCTGCAGTTTCATGAAGGCTCTGCCTTTAACAGATAGTTCACGAATGATCTTCATCAGACATCCTCACTGTGGAAGGAAAACATTATTCTGTTACGTGTTAAAACATAAAGTTCAACCATGAGTTTTAACGCCATCGTTCAAAATTCAACACGTTAACTTTGATAACAAACTGGAGTCGAGCGTATTTTGTTTTCTCTTTTCTTTTGTAATTCTCATAAAAACAGACATAAAGGCTGAAATATCTCGAGGAGTGCCCGTTTTACAGGCAACAAAGAAACTCTGCACATTATTCAAGGAGAGGATTTATAAACAGTTAATATCTTACCTGTTGTAGAGAGCTCACCTCAGTTTGGAAAAATAACATTCAAATCCAACAGAACTGATGAGTCTGCGTCCACAGTGGATTGCTGCCATAGCAGTTCAAGCAAACACTAATTTAATTGTCATCCTTGCATCCATAGCTGGACTGTTTCTGCTGAACGTTTGAATTTCCTGCTAGAAGCAGCTAAAAGGGCTGCAGCTAGCTGCTGCTATTTGCAGTTACAAATAACCATAAAACAGAAACAAATAAGTGTGTAATTTGAAACTGATGAGTCTATCCATTAGAGTATTAACTTGATTTGAGCTTAAATCTATTTCTTCAAACTGAAGCTGTTCAAAGAGTTATCTACAACAGGTAAGATGATATTTGCTCATACCCTTTCCACCAAACTCAATTTAAAAAAATTAACTACCATTGAGACAATAATGTTAACTTTTTTTTGTAATTGTTTTGTTTTCAACAGCAAAATAACACAGGCTGATTAAAAAGGTGAAATAGTTCAGAAATTTATTGTAATTATTTAATTAACTTACTAATAAAAAACTTGATTAAATGTTGCTCAGCATTGTATGAGCACAAATTAATGACAGAATGTTAAAAAAAGGAATGTTTCTGGATAACTTGCATGGATCAGGAACCACAGAGATAAAACATCCATCCATCCATCCATCCATCCATCCATCCATCCATCCATCCATCCATCCATCCATCCATCCATCCATCCATCCATCCATCCAGCCATTAATCCAGCCAGCCATTATTATCTTCTACTTGTTCTGAAATCTGGTGGGGAGTGGTGGCGCAGAGGTTAGAGAAGGTGGGCCTGTGATAGGAAGATCGCCAGTTGAAGCCCCGGTATCGACAACATCAAAAATGTAGGTGGGGTAGGTGAAGCACCCACACCTGTCCCCACCCTCATTCGTCCCACTCTGGGCCCTTGAGCAAGGCCCTTAACCCCCACCATCTGCTCCTCCGGGTGTCCTAGATAGCAGCTCTCTGCTCCACACAGAGAGATGTGGTAGTTCTGTGGTCTGTGGTTGAGTCAGGAGGGACATCTGGCGTAAAAATAACTGCCTAGTCTTCGTACAACTTAGTTCGCTCTGGCGACCCTTGAAGAAGGGAGCAGCCGAAAGAAAAAGAAAAAAAAACCAACTTGTTCCGAAGTCTGGTCTTGGGGCAGCAGCTTGAGCAGAGAGGTCCAGACATCTCTTTCCACAGCCACCTCTTCCAGCTCTTCTGGGAGGACTTCAAGGTGTTCCCAGGACAACTGAGAGACATAGTCTCTCCAGCGTGTCTATTTCTTTCCCGGGGTCTCCTCCCAGTTGAACGTGCCCGAACCACCTCAACTGGCTCCTCTCGATGTGGAGGAGCAGCGGTTCTACTCCGAGTCTCTCCTGATAACTGAACTTCTTACCCTATCTCTAAGGGGAGTCCAGCTACCCTGCAAAGGAAACTCATTTCAACTTCCTATATCCACAATCTCATTCTTGCAATCACCAGAGCTCATGACCACAGGTGAGGGGTAGGAACGTAGACTGACTGGTAAACAGAGAGTTTTGCCTTATAGCTCAGCTCCCACTTCACCACAACGGACCGGTACAGAATCCACAATACTGCAGATGCTACACCAAGCCGTCTGTCGATCTCACGCTCCATTCTTCCATCACTCATGAACAAAACCCAGAGATACTTGAACTCCTCCACTTGAGGCAGAACCTCACCCTCGACCCGAAGTGAGCAATCCACCCTTTTCCAGTTGAGGACCATGGCCTCAGATTTAGAGGTGCTGATTCTCATCTCAGCCGCTTCACACTCAGCTGCAAACCGCTCCAATGAGAACTAAAGATCACGGCACGATGATGCCAACAGGACCACATCATCTGCAAAGAGCAGAGATGGAATCCTGAGACCAACAAACCGGAAACCCTCTGCCAGATGGCTGCGCCGAGACATTCTGTCCATAAAAGTTATGAACAGAATTGGTGACAACGGGCAGCGCTGGTGGAGTCCAACTCCCACCCTGAAGGAGTCCAATTTACTCTCGCACCACTTGTATAGAGACTGAACAGCCCGTAACAACGGAGCCCCAATCCCATACTCATGGTAGATAAAGCAGTTTAACTTAAAGAAAAGCTTTTTATTTTAATAGCCCCCACCCCCCCCCCCCCCCCCCCCCCCCCACACACACACACACACAAGGCAGCGTCCAGCCTCGTTGAGCAGTGTGTCGTGCGTCTGCTGGTTCGTGTTGTATGACAACACAAACCACATCCTCTGGTCTGTGGTGCAGGCAGGAAGTGGTCAGAGTTAGGGCAAAAAAGACCCTGATGTGTCAGCACCCACCTGCGTTTAACACACACGTGCACGCGCACACACACACACTTGGATGGCTGTGAGCTGAGGTCATCGACTACAAAGGATGATAGATGGGCATGAAATGAGATGAAGATGAAAGCGAGGAGGGGAGGACAGCGAGGAGGCTGTTGCAGACTAGAAAGGGGGGCATTGTAGTGCAGTAATGATGCATTATGGGAAATATCAGAGAAATGAAGTCGTTTTGTTGCTGAACGAGACAGGATGTAAAACACACTGGTCCATCCTGTGTGAATGAACTGCAGCTGTCTGTCTGGGAGAGACAGTTTAGGACAGAGGGTTAAAATGTCCACTTTGACACTGATGACCCCACTTCAGACGAGTCAGTTTGTCATTTGAGGAAATAAAGGAAGGAAGAGTATTGTTTTCAGACCAAACCATTGTTGTAACCATCAGGGGTGGCATGGGCACGACTTCCTTCAGGAAAAAAGTAGGAGTTACAGAAAATACGGTGCAGTTATTACCTCACCTCTTTATACTGAAGAAAAGTTTTGTGTTTCCCCCTCTTGGTGTTGGCCAGAGGAGACTGCTGTAATATGTAGCAGCTGGGTCTGAACACACTAAAGAGAGGTTTTTACGTGTTTGCTGAGGGGGTCCTTTCTGAAGGGGTGGGAGAGGTCAAAAACCCACAGCGATGCATCAAGTAAACGTTCAAACTGCACAGAAAAGGTTTGTGGCGAACATACCTGCCCACACGAGCCTGACACAAACAGGCCCGTGGAGTAATGGACAGTTGTGAGCCAAGTGGGAGTTATAATTTCATGTCATTTGGCATAACACTGCAGCTCTGTGTATAAAGTGAAGAAACATGTAATAAGCAGCTTTGTGTGTGTGCTGTTTACCCAGCATGCCTCAGCCGGACTCGTGAAGCTTCTTTCCGTTGGCTGTCACCAAACGGAACAACTGACTCGCCGTCCTTTCTCTTTCTTTTCTCATCCTTTGACAAACGAACACTGGCGCCTCATGACGATCACTGTTTGATTCCCACACACCTGACAAAGTCTCATCACTACTAGGCCTGTGGCAATAAACAGTAAATCAATTAATCGCATGATAAATGAAAATTATCGACCTCGTTTTCATTTATCGGCTTTATCGTTTCTTCGTGTCTCTCTTTCTACTGAAGACACTGGATGAGAAAAGGATGAACTCCGGTGCTCTTCATTGACCCCTCCCTTTCCCTTTTCTCTGTAAAATATGTTTCAACCATCCAAAATCGCATTTTTGGATCATTAAAAGCAGCTAAGCTACGAGCTAAGCTACGAGCTAAGCTAACAGGCCGACCTTGGGCAAAACCTCCATCTTGTCGAAGCTCCAAAATTCACGGTTGAAATCCGTGCCTTCGTATAAAAAGTTGTTTTTCTCTGCAAAAAGAAGCTGAGGACTTGTTTACTGATTTTTTTAATTAAAAGCTTTGCATGAAAAATGCTATGCTAAAGAGCTCAAACCACACCGAGCGTCTGCCATTTTGAGAACCGAAGAGAGACAGCCCAAGGGGCCTCCCTCCCATTTTTCCTAAAGAGACACGCTGCTCACTCCCTCACTAGCCATCCTTCGCTTCAAACAGTCTTATACTGCCATCAAGTGGTCGAAAAAAGGTATTACACTCAAAACAAGTTAACCAACATTTCTTCTTAAATTTGACAATAATGACTAATTATTGTCAAATTTCAAACAATGTTATAATTTATCGCAATAATTTCTGAGACAATTAATCGCCCAGTAAAATTTGTTATCGTGACAGGCCTGATCACTGCACGTGAGCGCCTCACAATCCTGGATTCGTCTTGCCAAAAGTCTCTCTGCTCGTTGTCTCTCTCGGTGTTGAATGTTGCTGTCGGACCTTTATGAGCCTGTTGTGGAGGCGCTGTTAGATCCAGCGCAGCTACGATCAGAGAATCACGTGACGTTGGTTTGTCAGGATGTACAGCAAGCCTCCTTTGTTACTTTGTGGTACGATTCCTTTCAAAAGGGGCCAATTTCCACTTAAAATCAGCTAAATAATTTCCTCATGATCTGCAGTAGACAGCATGAGGGGGGACAAAACCTGCTGTTTGAATAAAAACGTCCAAACAGAGGTCCACATGAAATTAGAAGAGAAACCTGTGGGCCAAGTTCGTGGCTACAGCTGACTGAATGGTTTAATGAGGTCTTCAGATTGTCGTCGAGCACCCAAAATAAATATAAAGCTAGTATATCAGTTTTAAGTGTGATGAAATCGTTCATAAAGGTGTTTCCAAAAGGTTCACCAGAGTCTCATTTCCTTGTAGTTGCAGGGCCTCACTCTATTGGTGGAGGAATTTTGAATTTTTTGTCCGCAGGGTGTCTCAAACCCGTGTGAACTCGTCTCAGCTTAGTCTCCATCACGTCGAGCGCTGCAGCTGTGCTTTTTGTTAATATAAATGCAAACGTTGCTCTGTGGGCGTCCAACTCGTCCCTAACGGTTGCAGCTCAGCGAGACGCCACCTGAAGACGTAACAAGGTTTCTGTCACACTCTGCAGTTCCTGACCACCTGTCCTCTCGTCTCTGAGGTTTTGGACAACCCGTCTCTGTCTCTCGGTCCCCTGTACACCAACAGATGTGATGCAGGTAAACCTGCTGCAGTTCAACCAACAAGGCGCTCTGGACTAGATCTAGAGCGAAACGTAACAGCTTTGTCTTTGACGGTTTTTAATTTAAAGAAAACAGGGCGGGGGGATAATACTTAGGAAAGTATTATTATTAATTATTAGGTGCTGCTAAACATTTCATTATTATGGGTTTACTTTTTTAAGAAATAAAAGTACTAACTCATTGTAGTAGAATATTGAAGTTACAGGTTTTTCTTTCATTGTCACACTTTTTAGAGCGAAGAGGGGAATTGAAAATACCTTCCATCAGTCTGTCCATGTGAGCATGATAACTTGAAAAATAAGTGAGGTGCCGACTTCCATTTAGGTGCGTGGCTGCATGTACGTGTGAGAAAGGTCCATAATAAAAACTGAGTAGCCAAGTCACAATCCAAGATGGCCGCCAACTACATATATAAATGTAAACCGGCCACTCTGATGATTTGAGGAAACTGTTTTCTAGTGGGCAGCACAGTGGCTCAGAACTGTTGCCTCTCAGCAACAAGGATGCTGGATCAAATCCCGACAGGGGGTTTTCTTTGAGGCGTTTGCATGTTCTCTCCGTGCATGCGTGGGTTTTCTCCAGGTACTCCAGTTTCCTCCCACAGACTAAAAACATGCATGTTAGGCTGATTGGTAATTTTAAATTGTTCCTAGGTGTGAGTGAGAGTGAACGGTTGTTTGTCTCTGAGTGTCTCTGTGATGGACTGGAGACCTGTCCAGGGTGTCCCCCATCTCTCTCACAGTAACTGCTGGATATGGGCCCCAGTGACCTGAAAAAGAAGAAGTGGGTAAACATAATGGAAGGATGGATGGTTGTTTTCTAGTTTTTCTATTGCTTGAAAATATAGTTTCCTCAAATGATTGGTGTGGCTGAAGATCAATCTATGGGGCCAAAGCCACCACTGGCCACCCACTGGCTCCTCCATTGCACCTGGTGGTGGATAAAATGTCTCCCTCCACTCTTCAGGATTCGTCACTCTGCTTTGCCTCGGACAAGAGAAAAAACAAGAAAACCTCCCTCTGTTCTTCTCCTCACTGTAACTCCTCCCAACTGAAATATCTGGCATTAAAAACATTTAGGTTTACTTACAATGTCTGTTCAATTCCTGTCTAGAACAACACTCATCTCAAACACTACCAACATTCACTGTTCAAACCCCTCAGCGACGGGGGACCTCGGCGTACTGCTTCTTATTTGTCGTGTCCCCCTGTGTGTTTAACTGCATGGGGAGAATAGAAGGTGGTGATCCAAAACATTGAGCTATGATATGATGAATATCCTGAATGATAAAAGAATGGTGAAATAACAAACTTTGGTTTGTGAAACGACTGGTTTTAAATGGGGCAGCTGTGGCCGAGTGGTTAGAGCGGTCGTCCTCCTGTGGGAGAGTTGGGGGTTTGATTCCACCATCAGTCATGTGTTGACGTGTCCCTGGGCAAGACACTGAACCCCTCACTGCCTCTGATGTGTCCCATCGGTGTATGAATGTGATAAAGCTCTGATTAGTCTTTATAGATTCAGATTATCTTTGTATAATCTAGTAGAGTGCTGTATGAATGTGTTGGAGGTAAATGAGGCACAGATTGTGTCGTAAAGAACTTTGAGTATCTTCATTATATAGAAAGGATATATAAATAATAAGTCCATTTAACATTTAAATGAAGCTGTGTGAGACACAGTTAGTAAGATGTTTATATGGTCTTTTCTCCTGTAAATAGTGACCACTTCCTTTGCTTGCTGCTTTAGTCACCCAGCCCGTCGGGCCGGTCAGAACCAGCAGTGTGTGACACACTCAGACGTTGTCCAGCACCTGAGAGACTCATGACACACTTAAGGGAAGTCTGAGATTGTCATCGTAACGATGAAACTGGTTCTCTGCATTTAACCCATCACACCTGGGATACAGCCAGGTGGAGCAGTGGGCAGCTGTGTAAGCGCCCGGGGAGCAATTAGGGATTGAGTGTCTTACTCAGAGGCACCACGACATGTGGGAACGGCTGGGAGTTGAACCATGATTTTCTGGTTCTGGGTCAGCTGCCCTGCCTCTGCTCCATCTCTGCCCCACTTAACGTTAAAATGGTTGTTTTTTTGAAGCTGAGTATAAAAATGTGATATTTTTAAATAAGAACATTTGCAGTCAAGTTGTCAAAGAGAGAACAAAAGGTTTTAACTTTGGACCGGCTGGGTGTCAGAAAGTCTCCTCGCAGTCTGTTCTGACGTCCTGGGATGATCAGAACGTTTATTAGAACCAGCAGCACGACTCGTCGGGACTAAAAATGATATTTTAGACCTGAAGGAGACTCTTTTTCTCTTCTGTGCTCCTCTGTTTCCTGCTCATGCCGCGGTGCTGTAACAGTGAGGGTGTGTGTCCACCGTGGGTGGATCAGAACCAGAAAGGCCTCATTCGTGGTGGGGGTGGGGGTCTAAACACTGAGACCTCCGTGTCTGCTCGGACACACAGACGAGAGGTCAGCCCTCCGAGTGTCTCCACCGCTGCTGCTCATCTTTCATACAGCACATTTAGTGCTGAACAATAAGATCAAAGGCAGTCATTAAAAAACAGCTAAAGCTAAAACAAACAGATCATGTACGTCAGCACACGTTAGGTCCAAACACTAAAACCAGCTTCAAGAATGGTTTCCATTAAACATAATAACTATTAGAAGCAGATCTGCTGTAAAGCAATAAGTGGGGCGGTCAGGGTGTGGTTGTTGGTGATCATTGAAGGCTACGGGTTTCCATACGAGGGACGGGGGGAGGGACAGAGACAGAGACATGAACGAGGGGGGAGAGTCTTTGAGGTTTGGATGCAGCTCAGAAGAAATTCCCAGTGAAATTACCGACTGACGCTGCAGCTCGACTGGAGACGTTGGTGAGGCCTGAAGACAAAGAAGACACTCCCTGTCCTCTCTTCGTCCTCCCCTCTTTGTCCTGCAAACACCAGAACCAGAACGAATGGGTTTGTGGATCCAGGACACCTAAACTTGAAGAAGATCCTTGTAGTGGGCAGCCTTAAGTTTTTATTTAGTTTATTTTTTTAGGAGCTATGTGGGGAAAATGTGGAGCAAAGCCACTGGGCACTGGTTCAGACGTGGAACTGGGCTTCCAGGGAAGAGTCGGGTCAAACTTGAGCTCAGAACCTGGTGACTGTCACAACGTGTGGTCAGAGAAGGTTGACCATAATGAAAGAACGGGACTAAAGTTACACACATTCATCTGTAATCCTGAAGGGTTTTTCCATGAGGCGCGCTTCGTCTTTGTTCAAAGCTGGGTTTTGTTTTTTTTACTCTGTTTCACCCAGCACTGGTCCCACTGCAGCACTGGTACCACTGGTACCACTGCACTGGTACCACTGCAGCACTGCACTGGTACCACTGCACTGGTACCAGAGGCTGAATGAGGTGTAAGTTGAATAATTCAGCCGGAGACCTGCAGGTGCTTCAGGCTCCAACATCCCAAACAAAGTTACTCAACAGCTCGTTTTCCATGTCAGTGAGTCATGTGTGTTTTTATTTTTTGCTGCAGTCACATAAAACAACTTCCTGAACGTGGCGTCCTTGTACCTTATTTTTTGGACTGTAAAAACTTAAAATCCTTTAATTTCTTCAAAAAATCGACAGTGAGCCTTATGTATTAATTCTGGTTGTGCTTTCTGACCTCGAACTGATTTTATGTGTTTATTGTGAATGAGTTGAATAAGGTTTGACTTGTCTGACTGTTTTGTTTTGCTTAATGCGCCTTATAGTCTGAAAAATACGGTAAATGTTTCTACCGAACAGTTCCTAGAAGCTGGTTTGTCGACAGAAAATCAGCTCACGTCTGTTTTTTATTCACTTAGCTTTTTTTCAACCTCTCACCATTTTGTCTGTGTCTCTGCAGTCGTGGCTGCAACAGTATGGTTACCTGCCGCCAGGTGACATGAGGACCCACAGCCTTCGCTCGCCTCACTCCGTCTCCTCAGCCATCGCCACGATGCAGCGGTTCTACGGCCTGACGGTGACGGGGACCTTCGATGACGACACCGTCCAGTGAGAACCTCAGCTTCATTACAAATAATCAGCTGTAGATCCATTGATTAACCTGAGAGTTTCAGTAAATCTGCTCGATAACACACAGACACAAGCAGGTACATGATCACCTGCCTGTCATGGCGGTGGGCGATAGTAAAACGAGCCTTCGTTGAGAACTGGGGGTGTCCTTCATCTTGCAGGGCCATGAAGAAACCGCGCTGCGGCGTGCCAGACAAGTTTGGAGCCGAGCTCAAGAGCAACCTGAGGAGAAAGCGTTACGCCGTCCACAACCTGAAGTGGCAAAAAAAAGACGTCACGTTCTCGTAAGTCCACGAGGGAAACACAAGAATGTGTTCGGTTGTATTTTACTCCATCTAATCTGTGCAGCTGACGGACAAAAGTGAGAAGATCCTACTCCTGCTTGTTTAAATAATGAGAAAATGAGCTTTTATTTTTTCACAATCCAGAGTAAACACTGAATGATGCTGCTATTTACTGAAAAAAGCTTTGAAGATAAATATAAAAAGTAGAACACTAGCTAAAAACGTCAAAGAAGCAAAACATTAATGGAAAGTAGAAGCCAGCTAAATCCAAAAGATGCTCATCACTAGAGTAGCTAAAATTAGCAAAAGGTTTGCTAAAAGATAAAATATCAAAAAGCTAGAGCAAAAGTTAGCAGGAGGTTAGCTAAAAAGCTAAAAGTAACAATAAGTAAACTAAAAGCTAAAAGAAGCAAAGGGCTAGATAAAAGTGAAGCTAGTAACTAAAAATGACTAAAGGCTAACTAAAAGCTAAACGATGCAAAAGCCTAGCTAGAAGCTTTAAATATCAATGGTCGAGCCAAAAATGTAAAAGTCCAATTTAAAAAAGGCTATTTAGCAGCTAAAAGTAGCAAATGGCTAAACAATAAAATGCTAATTAAAAGCTAAAAGGAATGAAATGGTAGTAAAATGTATAAAAATGCTACTTAGAGGGTAAAGGTAACAAAAGACTGACTAAAAGCTAAATGTATCAGAAAGCTAGGTAAAAGCTAAGAGTAGCAAAATGGTAGCTAAAATCTAAAAGAAGACAAAAATAAAGCTCAATCAGAGCAAAATGTTTAAAGGAATTGAAAATAATTTCATGTGTTTTTGAGAGACAATATTTACAAATAAAGTTAAATATTTTGAAAAGTATAAAAGTTACAAAAGTCAGCGCGCTCGTGTTCTGGCTCAGCTGTTTGGATTCATGACTCGTGGAAACAATAGACAGTTTGCAGGAGGCGCTGAACAAAATCAACAGTGTGAATGCTAAAGAGTCTTGTCCCCCCCCCCACCCCCCGACCCCGACCCTCTTCAGTATTCAGAACTACACGCCCAAGGTGGGGGAGCACGAGACCCACGAGGCCATCAGGAAGGCCTTCAAGGTGTGGGAGAGCGTCACGCCGCTCCGTTTCCGAGAGATTCCCTACAGCTACATACGGGACAAGGTGGAGGAGTTCGCCGACATCATGATCTTCTTCGCAGAGGGTTTCCACGGCGACAGCAGCCCGTTCGATGGTGAGGGGGGCTTCCTGGCGCACGCCTACTTTCCTGGCAACGGCATCGGTGGAGACACCCACTTCGACGCAGCCGAGCCGTGGACGATCGGAAACCAAGACCTGCACGGTGAGACGCTGCTGAGACACTGATGACGGTGAACAAGACGCTCTGCTGCTTCAGAGACACTTTACTGAAATCCAAAACCTGGGCAGGTTCAGACCGGTGTCGGTACATCGGAGGCCGTGAACGCCTGCGTCAGCGCGCTCGTTGTTTTTGAAGCGCAGCAACCACAGAAATGTGCAGCATCAGCGTTTTGTATCAGACACATCTTCACATGACTTCAGGCTAATTTTGGTTCTGAGTCACTGACGTGCCTTTTAAGTCTTTTTGACATTTCCCAGTTCATTTCCCAGTTCAGAGGCACAAACACGTCACTTCACCAAAAGTGAGCAGTCATGTGTTACAGCTTTGACCAACATGGCTACAGCTCGCCATCGTTAGGATGACTTCGTGACAAACTGCAGCATGAAGTATGAATGCCCCTCCTAACTGTAGTTTTTATTGTAGGGAACGATGTCTTCCTTGTTGCGGTGCATGAACTGGGTCACGCTCTGGGTCTTGAGCACTCTGGGGACCCTTCAGCCATCATGGCTCCCTTCTACCAGTGGATGGACACGGAGAACTTTCAGCTCCCTGACGATGACCGCAGAGGCATTCAGCAGATTTACGGTCTGTCGGAGCCGCCAACCTCAACAAGTCTTCAGTCTGGAGAAGGCTGATGTAAAAGCCAGCTTAGGTTGGATCTTCTAATCAATTACCGTTTGCTTTTGTCTGTTCAGGCTCTGGATCAGACCTCCCACCCCCTCCTCTAACGCCGCACACACCGGAGCACGACCCGCAGCCCACCTACGCCCCCGACAAGCCTCACTTCGGCCCCGACATCTGCGACGGCCATTTTGACACCATCGGCATCTTCAGAGGAGAAATGTTTGTGTTCAAGGTAAGCTTCCAGGAGAACACGGCGCTGATCTGAATCTTTCTGGATCCTTCTCGTTTCTCTTCTGGACGCGTTTCAGCACGGTTCTGTAACGCCTGAGCTATTTCAAAATGTCATGAATCAGAACGTTCAGCTCATTCTGGACACTCCTGCTCTGACTTTTGGTGTTTGTGCAGTTTTTACTTTTAGAAAAATTCAGCTTTGTCGGCCATGTTTTCCTCATTAAAATGAATGGATCTCTCTTCACGTCCTTCAAACCCTTGTAGCTGTTTTTTACTGCTCATTTCAGCTGTTGTTTTGGTTCAGCTGTTTTCATCTTCCTTCAGCCTCTTTTGGCGTCTTCATGCTCATTTAATCTTTTTTCAGTTTCTTTTGAAAATTCAGCCTTTTTTGCCTTTTCAGCTACATTTTAGTTGTATTTTCTGCCTTTTTCCTGCTATTTTCTGCTAATTTCCACCTTTTTTGCTGCTTTTTTAATAAATCCAAATATTTTTGTCCATTTCAATCTCTTTCTGTTAATTTCAGCTTAGTTTTTTGCTGTTTCAGCCACATTTTGAGCTAATTTCTGTTTCATTTTGCTTGTTTCAGTTTTTTTTCTACAAATTTCTGCCTTTAAAAAAAAAATCAGCTTCTGTTTGCTAATTTAATCTTTTTTGCTCCTATCAGCTTCTTTCTGCTGAATACAGCTTTTTCCTTTGCTTTTCAGCTGCTTTTGAAGTATTTTTCTACTAATTTTAGCCTTTCTATTGCTATTTATTTGCTATTTTTATATTTGTGTGCTTCTAATAATTTCAACTTTTTATGCTCCCTTCAGTTTCTTCTTCTAATTTTAGCTTCTTTTACTGCATTTTCAGCTACTTTTGGAGCTAAGTTCAGCTTTTTTTGTAATCCATTCAGCCTTTCTCTTCTCATTTCAACTTATTCTGCTACATTTTTGCTCCATTCAGCTTTTTCTGCTCATATCAACTGTTTTTCTGCTGCTTTCTGTTTTTATTTTCCTTTATCAGCGAATATCAGCTGTTCAAATTCAACTCGTCTCTTCTCAGCAGCTTCCAGCAGACATCATTCACGCTGTATTTTCACAGGAAATGACATCTCTGTGGTTTGTGCAGACTGTAAAGTTCTGTTTTTCATTGGAAACCTCAGGATAAGTGGTTCTGGAGAGTTCGTAACGGCCGTGTGTCCGATGGATACCCGATGCCCATCGGACACTTTTGGCGAGGACTACCCACTCACATCAACGCTGCCTTTGAAAGGGAAGACGGAAAGTTTGTTTTCTTTAAAGGTCAGTCCAGTTTTAGTGTGCAGACGAAGAACTCTTCCAGCATTGGACCAGCACCGTTAACGTCTCTGCTCCTCTCGTCCTCTCCCAGGAGACAGGTACTGGGTCTTCAGTGAATCTATTCTGGACGCTGGTTTCCCCAAGAGTCTTAAAGAAATGGGCTCCGGGCTTCCCAAAGACCGGATAGATGCTGCTCTCTACTACACCCTCAACGGGAAGACCTTTTTCTTCCGAGCTGACAAGTGAGTCATCCTTCATGTGTTCAAAGGAAAACTGTTCTAAGGAAATTCCCTTTGTTGAGTAAATAAGGTGAAATAAATCATTGGTTCTTGTTTGAAAACAAAAATAAAAAGATGCTCACCTGGCACTAAAATAAAGTCATGACTGTTAGTCGCCTACAAGGACGCCCGTGAGTCACAAAATGTTGCCACAAAATGTGGAGGAGGAGTCCACACTCCTCCATCACACAAACTGCTCAGGTTGGAAGTTTTTAAGACAACTCAGGACATTCTGTCCAAACAATTCACAAGTTCCTTCTGCGTTTTGTCTCCCCTTCAAATCCTGGAAATGATGCTTCAGGTTTCTTTCAGTGTTGTGTGAAAACCAAAAACATGCATGTTGGCTGCCTTCAGGCCTCCCTTGCAAGAGATCTGTGACCTCAATGGGGTTGGCCTGGTTAAATAAAGGTTAATAAATAAATAGGTACGATTAATATCTTACCTGTTGTAGATAGCTTTTTGAACAACCTCAGTTTAAATAAAGAAAGCTGAATTCTAACTGGACTGACGAGCTGAGCTCATCTCTGGGACCAAAGTGGACTTCTGTTGTCTAAAAATAACTCCAGTTATTAAATGACATTGTTTCATGTAAACAGCATTTGATAAACCTGCTGTTTTCACGTTACGCAGTTTTTATGGCCGCTTCATTATGAGTGCAGCACTTCAGACTGTACCCGAGGTGCTAAAGGTTAGCAGTGTTCACTACCTCCCATAGACTTCTGCATAAATAAATGAAGACGTGTGAAATTAAACGTGGCTTAAAATAGTCTTTGCATGATTTGCTTGTATTTATATTATTTTTTTGCCCAGGTCCCTCTTGCAAAATAAGATCTTGACCTCAGTGGGGTTTTAAAAGTGGTTAAATAGAGGAAATAATTGTTGTTGTTGTTTGAGAGTTTTGTTAAGACATTATTTACCCAGTTTGGTCTCGTTCAGACTAGTCATTAGCTTGATAATCTGGTCAGATTTAAATATTTTGTCTCCAAACTGAGATTGATCAAAAAGCTCTCTCTAACAGGTAAGATATTATTTGTTTGTAACCTTTCCACAGAACCCCATTTCCAAAAATGTGAACTATTGCTTTAAAGTTTAACCTGAAAGGCTGAAGGCCGGACTAAAGTTAATCCTCGTTTCTTGAGTAAAAAATTACAACTAGTAATAAAGTAACTAACAAATACTGTATAAACTCTAGTCAAGTAATACATTATTATTTTAAGTAAAACTTGTGTTTTTAAGTCATTCGACATGTCCATAGGAGGGACAGTGGGTATACTGGTAGAAAGATGTTAGAAATGCAGCTGCCAGGAAAAATACAAAGAGGAGATACATGGATGCAGTTAGAGAGGACATGGAGGTAGATGGAGTGAGGACAGAGTGAGACAGAGGAGGACGACTTGCTATGGCAACCCCTGTAGAGGGAAAAGCCGAAAGAAGAAGAACAAGTGTGTTGCAGAATAAAAGTTTGGTGACTAAAACACTCAAAGTTCTCTGAAAGCAGAAGCTTCTCACTATGGGAGTCTTTTTCTGGTGTGACCACCTCACATTTACACAAATGTAAAAGCTTCCCTGCCTTTCTGTCGCTCTCCTGTCCAGGTATTATAGTTTCATTGAGGAAATGCAAAGAGTTGATGACGGTTACCCCAAATCCATCAGTGTCTGGCAGGGTGTGCCTGAAAACATCAAGGCAGCCTTCATGAGCAAAGACCAAGGTAAGAACGGCTCTTTAACGTGTCACCAGCAGGATGTTGGTACTTCCCGTTTCACATGTCTCCCTGTCACCCATCAGCTTACACCTACTTCTACAAAGACAACAAGTACTGGAAGTACAACAACCAGAGGATGCGCGTGGAGCCTGGCTATCCCAAATCAGCACTCCGTGACTGGATGGGCTGCCCCAACGAAGACCCCAAGACCGACGGAGGAAGAGGAGGGGGTAGACACGACAAGGACAAAGACAAGGAGCAGAATGATACTGACAGAACCACAGAGGAAGAGGTGGACAGAGAGGAGGAGACAAAGACAGAAGACGTGGACGTAACTATTATTGAGACGAATCAGGGGAGCGGCTCGGCTGCCGTCGTCGTGCCGCTGTTCCTGTTGGTGTGTGTGATCGCCACTTTGGCAGCCTTGGTGTTTTTCCGTCTGTACGGAACTCCACGCCGAATCCTGTACTTCCAAAGATCTCTACTGGACAAGGTGTAGATGGAGGGAGGGAGGGAGGGAGGGAGGACAGGAAAAAAGAGGGAGGAAACGATGAACGCAGACAGCTGAGCAGGGGAGGAAAATAAAAAAAAGTCTTACCACTGCCAGATTTATTCAGCTGTACTTCTCAACCACTCAGTCCTTCAGATTTGTCTCCCCCCACTCCTCACCCTCTCCGGTGGTAACTGACGCCAGCTCGTTGCTGTTTGTTTTAGCCTTTTTCAATGTCTCATTTTTAGTTGTTTATCACAGTCAGCATGTGTGTTCTTGTGAATTTCCAAATCAAATCAGCATTTTCTCAACTTTTCATGTGAACTCCCCCATTCCCCCTCCTTGTAAGGCCCTCTTTACACAACACATTTTTAAAGTGAAACCACAGCCTTTCTGCTGCGTTTCAGTTGTTTGTGTACACAACAACAGCCCTGTTCTCTCTGAAACCCAAGGTTTCTGAATCCAGTCTCAGACTGGAGCTTTCTGTGGGTTCTTTAGGTGTAAAATACTCCAGGCAGCTGCAGCCACATGTTTTCCTGCTCCAACAACAGTTATAATAAACGGCAGAGAGCAGAGTGTTTTTGTGCTGCTCACCCTTTTTCAGCATGTAGGAGCAAACCAACAACATCCTTGGTCCAAAGGAACGTTCACGTATTCCCCAGTTTGATTGTAGCTGCGATCATGCAGACACTGCCTGCAGCTGAACCAGCATCAGGGTTGCCAGATAAATATAAATACGTTTTTTCAACCCCCTCCTTTTCTGTGTGCATGCTCACCAAACCAACGCACACCCTCAACACGTGTGACAGCTTGAGTCAAAATACAATCATTTTAAAGCGACGGTATAATAGTGCATCATTTCTTATCTGGCAACCCTGTCTGGCATGGAAAGTATAGCTTTTCCATGTAAACCTGGTCTTATTTTTTTTGTTGTTTATTCGACCCAACAAACATTGAAAAAACGCTAATGTTCTTGTGTAAACAGGGCCTAACACAAACTCGTGAACACCACAGTCTGGAGTCAGTTTGGACCTTAAAAAGAAAAGTGCTGACATGAGCTCCACTCGGATCAGAGAAAAACAACAACAGTTGTGTTCTCCCCTGTTCTCCCCTGTGTTTATGATTATTTTTATGAATGCTGTTGTCATTAGCATTATGACTGTTACTATTGTTGTTGTTGTCCTGCGAGTAAAGAATGTTAATGTATATTAAAACGTCCTGCTGGACAGAGACACACACTTCTGAAAATGGCCTTAATTTTATATGTGTGGGGACAGTGAATGGGGAAAATGGGTTATGTATTGAAACTTGATTGTTTTTTTTATACCTTGAATCAATTTCAAATGAAAATAAATTGACGATCTAAGAAAATGACTTCTTTTGTCATACTTGATTTTATTTTTTTATACATATTACGGCGCTGCATTGCTAGTCAGGGGCTTTAAATAGTTCAGCGACGACAATAATACTAGTGATGATGATAATAATAATGACAACAATTTGTTTTTCTCAGTAAGAATGTGTGTACTTCCTCTTTCTTACAAGAATAAAGTACATTTTAAATCGCTTTACGTGCGTTCAGTTTCACTAAGTCCTGGTTTCGTGTATTTGTTGCTCCCACATTAAAAGCTTTGATAGACAGCTCTTTAGCTTTAGGCCTTGCACTGATCAACTGGTCTTCCCCAGCCTCCCTGGACCTCCAGGTTTCTTGTTCCCCGACAGCACCACAGCAGTACTGGGGCTCAGAACCTGGCAGCCACTAAACTGGGTTGGAAAATGCGGACTGGATCCAAAGCTTAAGTAGAAGCAGAGACGAAGACGATTGTATGAAGTCGTTGCTGCACAGCAAGAAAACATCTAAACTACAGAATCGTGTGTGTGTGCTCTTGTTTTACTGCACTAATGAGGACCCCGGGCACAAACACTCACTTTTCTTTAATGTCTGAATGTGCAGTTTGACTGTCGGTGTGAAAAATTAATTTTTCAGCTCTGGGGGTAAAACTAAATATCCTCACAACTGCAGCAAAACCCATTTGTTCATGTTTTGTTTTGATGAATTTGTGCGTCTTGACGGATGACGGGTGGGGGTCGACGCCTCTGTGATATGCTGTGATGTTCATGCCAATAAAACGATGAGGAACTGAGCCAAAAGCGACCCGGGACACCCATTTGCCTCGAGTTTGCTCCAGTTCTGAGGAGTCACGAGGCTTACTGGGGGGACGGGGGGAGGAGCGATGGGGTTCAGTCACATTTGGAGGCCAGAGATGGAGCAGAATTTCATGAGCAACATCTGGAAATCTGACTGCATCATGTGAGCGAGACGCAGCAGGACAGAGAGATGAGATGCTGGGGGATGGGAAGCAATGACTCTTTTAAATCATCAAAGAGGAGCAAACGATCCGTACGGTAGTTTTTAGGTTTGTTTTTCTCCTCTGCAGCAGGGATTCTGTCATCTTGCTCCCCTGACTCCTGTGTCTCTCGAACGTTCAGCTTTTAGTCAGTTTCTGATGTTTTCGGTCTTTCCCAGCTGACCCTGCAGAAAAGAAATGCTTCAGCAGAAATCGTCCCCACAGTTCTCTCTTTCCTTTTTTTTTGTGTAACCGGAGAACTTCGCTTCACTGTCCGGGAAATGCATTTTTTTCTTTTTTAAAGCTCAACAAAAGACCACACCACAACGTCCGGCCTTCTCTTAGCCATCTCCACTCGTCTTTCCCTCGTTTCAACTTTGTTTTCCACAAGCTGAGCTGCTGTTTAAAATGTCAACAAAAACTACATTTAATGGAAAGTAAAATGAAAGAAGTAGATCAAACTTAAAACTACTTAAAAACAGAGCAGAGCCATGTTGTCCTAAAAAATCTAACAATTAAAAGGAAATAAAATCTTCACATTTGATATTTAGCTGCTCAAAAGTCAGGATTTAGTTTTCTTTCGCACCGTGTGATCTTCAGACATGCAAAGTTTAAACGCTTCACTACAAGGCCAGCATGTTGGAAAGCTGCAGTTCGACGCGGCTTTGCTGAAAATAAAACTACGCAGAGAGAAAAAAGGTGAGTTTTAAATGTTTTGAAAACCGAATTTACGTCTTTGCTTCTGTTCATTTTCATCATTGGAGCAACAACACCACCAGCCTGATCAAGAGAGCTCATCAGAGACTCTACTTCCTCAGACGGCTGAGGCGAGCTGGTCTGGGAAGCTCAGTCCTCACCTCCTTCTACAGGTGTGCAGTGGAGAGCATCCTGTGCTCCAGCATCAACGTGTGGCATGGAGGCTGCACAGCTGCAGAAAGAAAAGCTTTGCAGAGAGTGGTGAAGGCTGCACAGAAATCTGTTGGAGTCAGTCTCCCCACCATCACAGACATCTACACCTCCAGATGCAGGAAGAGGGCCACCTGCATCATGAAGGACCTCACTCACCCAGCATACACACTTTTTGCCCCGCTCCCCTCAGGAAGGAGGTTGAGGAGCATTAAGTGTAGAACCACTAGACTGAGGAACAGCTTCTACCCTGAAGCTGCTAGACTCATGAATCTCTAACCAGAATAATCGCTGTGAAAAATCACATCATGCTGCTGCTGATCTGTTTCATGTTGCTGCTGATCTGTTTCATGTTGCTGCTGATCTGTTTCATGTTGCTGCTGATCTGTTTCAATGTTGATGTGTTCATACGTACTCATCTACTCACACAGACTCATGTTCGTGTTCGTGCTGCTGTTCGACATAATGTTTTATGTTATGAGTGCTTAGTGTATATTTAGTTGATGTTTTTCTTAGTTCATATCTTAGATGTTATTACTGTTTTTCTTTTACATTTTATTGTTGGATGTAACTGGGACCCTGTGTATAGAATCTCGTTCCACCACATGTACCACATGAGGTGTGTATGACAAATAAATCTCTCAGACTCTGACTCATTTCAGGTCCAGGAAAAAAACAGAGTTTTCAGAACAAGATTTTTTTTTATATACTGTATATTGCAGAATAAAGTAATTTAAATGTGCGCAGTATTGTTTTGTTCCTCGTTTTCTCTGAAACGTACTTATATTTAACATTTAATGTTTTACTTTAGTTCCTTTTTTGGGTTAGAAGACAAATAAATTAATAATTTGGTTTTATTCAGTTGAACTCGTTTTTTAGCGATTGTGAAGTTCCTGAAGGATATTTCAGTCTGTTATCATATTTCTTCATAAAAAATAAACTACTTTAAGGGTGCTCAAAGTGCGGCATGAGGGCTATTTACGGTCTTTTGAAATGATTTTGGGTGGCCCACGACTGCAGTTTAAGAATAGTGTGATTTTGGCCGCAGATCTTCTGCTACATCCAATAATCTCAATTCATTCATTCAACCTTTATTTAGACAGGTTAATCCCATTGAGCCTCGAGGACTCATTTACAATGACTTTTTTCAATGAACTCTTCAAGTGAAATTCTCCTTAAAGATCATCACTGATCCACATTTTTGTATCCGTGTCCCCGAGTTTTACACTTCCTGTGCCGATTCCTGCTTTAAATGATTACATTTACATCTTTTATTCCATTTTTATCCAAATCTCAGGCCCTTATGATGTTCTCCACATCACTTTTATAATCCAAGTCAAGTTCTCCTCAAAGACCATTACAGATTCCTGTATGCGCCCTTGTGTCCCAGAGTTTCATACTTCCTGTACCACTTCCTGCTTTAAATGGTCTGCATAGATGAATAGAACCCTCCACCCCCACCCCACCCACACCAGGGGAAGTCCTGATCTCGCTCAATGTGCCGTCACGCTCAAAAACTGGATGACATAAAGCGAAGAACAGAAGAGGGTTATTGTTGAACTTCTCTGCCAGTAAAGGATGTGAGATAATGGAAAGGTGGGGACGTAAAGGACACACCTGGTTTTTATTTGCATGACTTTAAACCACCAACGCCTCCTGCAGCAACACTAATCTAACAAACATGAATGTGCAAAGGCAGCAGAGTTACGCCTGAATACAAGGAGAGCAGCACCGAGGAGACAGACCTTCCTCCAA